CAAGCCGTCAATCATTGAATTGATTTCATCTTGCTTACCTTGTCAACGATATTTTTCCCTTAACGATTTACACTTGAGTATTCGGACGACTTTCTGCGCATATGTCATATTTCCAATGAACTAGAAAGTGTCGTATTGTTGGCTCTTCTTGGCCCTAACTCAACTGAAAGTTCATACGACATTCACAATCTCCTCTGTTCACAGGTTTAACGACGGACGACGGCGTGCACAAGTTTACAGTTTCCTCCAAATACGTGTCCTTCTATGCAACCAGTCCTCTCGTTTCTGCATTTGATCGTCTCTGCCGTCTGTTTATTAGAAGTTTTCACTTTCCTTCAGAGATTTAAATTCTTGCTTCTGGGTTTAAGCTACGTACCTTACTCTACCTACATAAGAATATGCTGTTTCCTTTTTCGTATCGGTCTTTGAGTTTTACCTCAAAGGCTAAGAATAGTGCACTTTATGTTGCCTCGCGCCGACGTATGAAACTACATTTTGGTCGTTTGCCACTTTACGATATGCATGCAATGGGAATGATCCCTTGAGGAAAACACTTTTAAACTAATGGTCAAATACTTTTGTTGTATATGAAAAGGCAGCGAGCGGCCTCAATCTAAAGCTATCCGACAATTTTTGAGTATGAAGCAATCAAAAATGAATACTCTACACTTTGGCAATAATTCCAAGAGGGAAGTCAATTCTTCTTTTGTGATGACCATTCTTTTTCGCTGGTTCAGCCATTACTCTTGTCTAATCATGACAGCCAAACGTTCTGCTTCATGCCGAAGCATCGGTATTACTATCGTTTTGTGCACCTTTCCCTTTAGTTTGTATGGTGTCTTCTTATTCAACATACGCCATTCCTCTTTCTCCATTTGAACCACCCGTTGTTGATCGATTTTTCAACCCTTTCTCGATTCCCTTTCCCCTGAACAATAAAATCAGGATACCTGAATTCCCAAGATTAATTCAGCATACTGTCTTCTGCATTCACTGACACTGGCTTTCTGCTTGGTTCCACCACTGAAATAGCCTGTGATATATTCAAAGTTGCCTTTGCCGACTCGATAACCGTTGTTCTTAAGAATTTTTCTCCATGCCTCAAATTTTGCTCTTAATGCTTTCACTGCATGCACGCTCAGCACAAACCTTCGGAGAAGGGCATATAGTATGGGACTGTTTGGCACAGTAGAGTTCAACCAGGGCATAACAACCTTAAAAATTTCGTTTGCCATATGCTTTTTTTCGTTTGAGAATTTTGGAATAAACGGAATAGTTATGGAGATCGTCTGATATTAAATTTTTAACACGTGAAGATCTTTAATATTTTACTGCATCCGCTTTCTTAGCGTATGCTCAATTTCTTCGCTGCACGCAGAGTAGCTTGCGCAGTACTTAAGTACTTCGACCCTCACGCCGAGTACTACGTCATTATGCAGAAACTTTAAGTTCTGGAGTTTAAAGCGAGGTTAAACAAGTTCATCTTTCATGTCCTGTAAGATCATACGGTTTTCATTTTTCATAGCTCATGTCTTGTGCTAACGACTATCTTTAGCTAGCTGTCAAGTAGGCCAAAGCGGACTGCAGCCCCAAGCCGCACACATCAGCGAGCGGGTCAGGAGTTTTGTCGTGTTGTGACGAAGATGCCGGTCGTGCGTCATTTCAGAAAATAGTCCTGACTGCTCGCTCATCAGCTATTAAGCACGAAGGAGCGACGATGAAAATCTCTCAAGAAAAGCGTGAACTAAAAAAGTCGTCGCCAGTGCCTCTTTTCGCAACGCGGGTTTATGCGAGCGGCTACGCCATGACTCACCGACCGACCGAACCGAGAATGGCTCAGATGCAGGGGCCAAAGAAATATTAGTCATTCTATTATGTGAACTTCCTTTCTGCGATCTGCTTGTTTTTCTGATGATCGACTTCCAACCACCGGAAGTGACCAAAGATCGTCTGTGTAGATGAAAAACGATCCGTTCAACACTTCTTCACAAATTGGCGACACGAAGGAGATGCCGAATACGACTGCCAAACTTTTGACCCTGAAGCCAACCGAACCAGAAAATTCCTTCGACGGCGGCCAGAGGCAAGATCTAACAAAAAAATCACTGGCGACGCCCATCCGGTAAAAATTTTATTTCATGCTTTAATATGCCTATAACTTTACAATAAGTTTATCCCTGTTTATCAGGATGACGAACGGAGAGTGAAAAGAATTTTACAAGGCTGAAGAGAGGCTGCTTGACCTATAGCCGATGGGCCTTGTCTTGTCCTGCCAAGTCTTTAAGAAATGCTGTTGACTAGTAGTTTCTTATGACGTCACATGAAAAGTTCAATATTCTCTGACGCAATATGACGTTGCGGCTGCCACATACAACAGAAAATAGTAGTCGAGTGTTCTTTTCAACGACGGCCATCAACCGCGGTAAAACCGTTGATCGGGGACAAAGAAATAGGAGGGTGAGGGAAGAAGGTGAAGCTGGCCGCTGGGAGGAAAAAGCGACGTTTCTCATATCATCTAAGATACCTCCTACTATATCGTCATCGATTAGGTTCCGAAATTTGGTTTGCAAAGTTTAATTATAGTCATGTCTAAATCTCTGAATTGGGTGGCGAGGACGCCACAGGAGAGAATTTTGGCAAAGCCATGGGGAAGATGGCCCAGCTGCACATCGCGACAAGGCGGTCGTATTATTTAGGTGACTTACCCTGTAGGAGACCCATCCTATAG